GTTTGTCAATCTGCCCTTCCCTCGATACTTTTATGTAACATGAAAATTTTATAACATTCTCATAATTGCTACAATGAAAATAGTGATATGGACATTGTGATGTAATAAATTAAAATTTTGTTACTTACCAACGTGACAATTACTATATAGACTATGAGTACTTAGGAAAATACATCATCCCTAACAAAAAATATTATAGTTAACTATAGTTAACTATAGTAAATCAGTGTCAAAGTTATCACTAAAGTAAATCAAAGTTTTCAAAGTGATCACTATAGTGTCAAAGTTATCACTAAAGTAAATCAAAGTTTTCAAAGTGATCACTATATCAAATAAAAGTTTTCACCATAGTAAATCAAAGTTTTCATAGTGATTACTATAGTAAATGAAAGTTTTCATAGTTATCACTTTAGTAAATCAAAGTGTCAAAGTTATCTCTATAGTAAATCAAAGTCTCAAAGTTATCACTATAGTAAATCAAAGTTTTCTTAGTGTCAAAGTTATCACTATAGTTAACTATAGTAAACTATAGTTAACTATAGTATTTTTTGTTAGGGATGTTTTCCTCTATAATCACTAGATTATAGTGAAGGATAAAGGCTAGAATAGTTTAAATTACCAATAGGATGCAATAACTTTTCAACGTAAAATCGTTTTACTAACTTCACAGACAATGAATGAAAGGGGTCAAAGCCAAAGAATCAGGGCTATATTAATATGATTATTACTTTGCTAAGTGATACATGTACAATATACAAAGCCTGGTCTTTTGTTTTTAACTGAAAAGCATATTTTCAATACAGAATCAAACAACTATGAGAGAAACATACCCATAGATTCTGACGTCATTCATTCAAATATTACAGGGACACATATTTATTTAGTACAAAATTTGAGCGAATCTTAGTTTTTCGAATCCTGATTCCCTACACAATTAGAAGAGAAGGCCAGTTTCCCAAACATCAAGCTCAGAAAATTATTGTTAATAGCATACTTCATATGCAATGCACTGCATTGTTTACAATTTTGTAATTATTGCTTTCTTACGATTACAGTAATGGTTCATCTATATAATTCTATAAGTGTTCTCAGCAACTTAATAATACAGTATCACTTCCTTTGAAAGGCATCATATTGTCTCAAATAATGTATGAAATATGAGGACAACGAACAGTAATCAAGCTTTAAAATCCATTAAAACAATGCAAATTTAGAGCAGAGCAACGTGAATCTATAAAAACATCAGAAGTGGGTTCAGGTGTCATGTAGGAGTAAGCATCCCCTGCAAACTGGTCACATCTGCCATGTGCTCCCTTTTTATTAAGATGAACAAAATTCTTTATAACACATTATTACTCTTCAAAGTGCGTATAGAAATAGCAACACGAAACCCAGCATATGGAAGTCGATCGGATATGGCACCTTTGGAACACAACAACCTGAGAACGAATACAATGAGTAACACGGAATATTACACTTCTATCTCTGACAATTCTATGAAGGTTAATAGTGAACATTTTGCTTGAGATCATATCAAAAAAATTAAAAAAGAAAGTAAATTACTTCTATTTATGTTTTAAAATATTTACAGACCGTTCTTCTCTTTTTAGGTTCTACAAAAAGTATCGCATGTCCGACCAATAGTAAGATACGAAAATGATGCTCTATCACAACAAGTTATAAAGGATCATGAGATATATGACCACCTTAATGAATCAAAACCTAAAGATAATAATGACGATTATGATCATGCATTACCGGTTACAATTACTAGATTACAATCATCGACAGAGTACGATGTTCTGAGACACTCCAAGTCTGATAATGAGTACACAGAAGTGATAGGCGATGGATTTCAGTAATTTAGTTGAATTCATACATGCACAAGATTATGATGAACATTATTTTGATATAAGGTTTTTTAAAATCATGTTTTGGATAGGGAGTACCTGCCCCCCAATTACTTGTATTTTTACTTTTTATACCCCCCGCAAACGAATATTTTTTTTTTGGGGGGTAAATATGATTCACCTTGTCCGTTTGTTCGTCCGTGTGTCATGACCTTGATCCAAGATCATATGGGCAGTTCAAGGTCACTGAAAGAAAAATTTCATAATTCGTGTCCAGTGCATATCTTTTATGAGTAAACTTGGTGAGTTCCCATTTTACACAAAGATTGCTTATGACCTGAAGGTGTGTCATGACCTTCACCCAAGGTCATTTGGGCATGTTCAAGGTCACTGAAAGAAAAAAATCATAATTTGTGTCCGGTCCATATCTTTCCTAGGAATACAAAAAAGTATTGATGTTTTATTAGGCTGCGCCTTAGTTTCATTCATTAAAAATATAATGAGCAATTACCGGTAAGTTTTTACTCTAAATATTTAAACAAATTGTGAACATCTCTTCATGAGATCCATCAAATACTAGTATTAGTGACTTGGCACCTTCTCTGGAAACCCTGCGGAGGTATTTGTCCCTTTTGGACAATTGTAGTTTATTTTAGTTAAATGCATAAAAGTTTTCATATACAAAGATAGAGAAACAATATTATATTTACAAACTTTGTCATGGGTCATCTGCAAATTTATTCAGATTCTACATATAAATAACAACATGAACAAGTACCCCAAGGTTGATGTTAAAAGACGATTTGGTCTCTTATTGACAACATCTATGTACTTTTTGGAAAGAGATCTTCCAACAAATTGTTGTAATTCCCCTTGGTACTAATTTTGCCCCGTTATTAACAGAACTGTTTTTGTATTTATATGAAACAAAAGTTATTTAAAGCAAAAAAATCTGCACGAGAAGTATCTTCCTGTTGCTTTTATTTCGACATTTATATATATCGACGACATTTTATCAGCTAATAATGTTCATTTTTTCCAAGGCTGATTCGATATATCCCATTGAACTCGAAATAAAAGACACCAAAATGTCTAATACATTTGATTCATATTTGGATTTTTTACTAGAAAAAAACTATTGTTGAAGTTAACAACTAAATTTCATGATAAACGAGATTAATTTACTTTCTTTCGTCATCTTTTCTCATTTTTGAAGCAATATACCATTATCATTTGCATATGGAAGTAATGTCTCCCAACTTATTCGTTACACAAAACAATTTTCCGCCGTAGTCAGGTTTCTGACAAATAAGTTGATGATGCAATTATATTATAATTCCCGTTTACAATCAACATTATGCACATTCCATGGTCGATACAACGACCTTGTTTGCAAATAGAATCTTTAATACAAATTGATAAGGTCGTTATTTTCACACTGAATTATCTTAAGATTTTTCCGTTTATCTGTTATGACAAGAGGAACACGGCCGTTGTTACCGATCGACAGGGTATGCTTGCTCGTTCATGGCACCACGAATCTACCTCTGTTTTCAGAAGTCCGTCTTGGCATTTATTATAATAATTGTTTTATTTAAATTGACTTTTGTGCATGATCAATATCCGTTATCTTCAGATTTTGCTTCAATAAAACACTACTACAAAAAATATTTCAAATGTGTCCCTGCTTTATGTAATAAATGAATATAAGTGACCCATTGGTGTTATTGTTTACTTTGAAACTGCTTGCTGGAAAAAAGAGTTTATTTTTATCTATATTTTTTTTTTGTGATAAAATATGATTGTTATTAATATTTTCTTTTCTGCACATTATACTCATGTTATTCCATTCGTATTATTTAAATCGTGCAAATTTTAAACATGAAGTCCTTCTCTACAGTAAATTATACAATAAAATATTCACATTTTATACTGGAGATGCTGAGTGACTTTTAGATCTGTTTTATGCAGAAAATCACATTAACGTATACAATTCCCGAATTGAATAACATGATTATGTCGACTTTATTAAAATAACTTTAAGAAATAAATATTATCAAGCTTATTTTTACTCATTAAATTTTGCAAAATTGACTTATTTTGCTCAAAACAGACATGACCTTTTCTTAGATCAATAAATCCATAACACAAAAATGTAACGAATACAATAATATGATTTTTCAACTTATAAATATCAAAAGTGTTATTTGATATTAAATTATGTCCTTCATACCACATTTTTTTTCATATCAAAGAATGATTTCTGATATCAACAAATCAAATTTTGGATTACTTAAAGGAATTTTCCGATGTCATGAAGTTATTATCGAACATCAAAAATCATTTTGTGATATGAAAATCAATTTTCGACATCAAAATTCTCTTTTTTTCATGATAAAGAATGATATCTGACAATTTAAAAAAAAATAATTTTCTCCTTCATTATTTTTTTGAAAATCAAATGTTATTAAATTAAATTCTTAAGTAATAATATATTATTAAGTTTTTTTTCAAAGCTATCTTTAAGATTTCTTGATGAGCGTCAACTGCTTCATGACTCTAACATCAAAGCAGTATACAGGTCTATAATACAATATTTTACGAACTTTAATATCAAAATATGTAAGAATATCAGCAATGAAATAAAATAGATACTTTAAAAATTAACAACGCTATTCACAGGTGTATTCATATGTTCTATATTGAACACTGATAGTTATTTGGAGAACAAGCTATTGTGGTTTAGGGTAAGAGGTAGTTGTAAACACGTAAAATATATAAATAATCAACAAAAGGTAGGCTTGTACGTTTGAAAATTTGAATATTTTACACTGAAGAAGTAAGGCATCTTAAATTATCTATCAAATGCTAATAAATTCAGTGAAATGGTTGCATTTTAAGGCATACACACAAATAAGTCACCTCAGCTGTAAAATCGGATTTTTAAAAGTTGATTGAAAGTAGATTTTATCTTTTTGAATGCATTGGAGTCTGTTTATTAATTGCGTGTTGAGCTTAGAAATACAAACGCACACGTGACCTGTATTAGGTGAAATCGAATCGTTTTGATTATGTGACCTGTCCTGGGTATGTTCTCATAAAATCACCCTCTTCAACCAATTGTAAAAACTCCTGGACCGGAACAGATCGTGATATTTAAATACCAAACGATGGGAGAAGAGAATGTAAATAAACTTTAAAGGTGGTTAAATGATGATCACAAGACGTAAGTACTTTGTTATATTAATTTTGAAAGTTTCATATGTATTAAACTCCGTTTAACCTAACAGAGAATCGTACAATATTGGCTGGCAGAAGTTAATGAATGTAAAATACTTCTTTTTGTAGGACATTTCAAACATTTTACACACGTGTTGATCCTATTTACTCTTTCTTCACTGAAAGGGAAATGTGTTCTGAGTAGCCTTTTGATTGAGTATGTATATTTCTTACTAAAGTTCGTGTGTATAAAAACTATTTTTCTTAAGAATATGCCTGTTTTTTGTTTCATATATTGCGTAATGACTGATTATAAACACTAAACACATTTATCACTTCCTGTTGTATATACACAATAAGCAATTGCAAATGATATATATGGCACAACGAAGTAATCTTCTTTACTTGATAAATTAAATGCCCTTTGACTATTTTTCTATATTTTTAAAATACTTTTGAGGGGTTAGACTTATTCGTCTTCTTAAGTGCGATACGTGTATAAACCCTGTCAAAATAAACACGCGGTGTCATTTGAAGGCAACACTATATCAGCTCAGCAATAAAGATTGAAAACGTAAGGTAAATTGAGAACATTCAACTGATGACAGGGATATCAAGTTGAGTGTCACGTTAATGTCTGAATTATAATAATATAAAAAGATATAATGTATAATATAAAATAATTTAAAAAAAAAACCTTTATATATTTTTTACATCACTGAACTGGCTTGATATTTAATCTTGAAAAGCACTATGCGTTACTACAATCTATCTTTAAACAAAAGCATATGATGTTGCTGTTTTGAATATTCTCCACTGGAATTTTGATGTTAATCTATAGTCTTTAAAGTTGATCCATCTGTTAAAAGATGTCACTTTGATTTTCTTTCAATAGAATCAATTGTTTGGGGAAGATTTTAAGCCGATATCGTGATATATACAGCTGCCCATGGGACATCAGTCAGTATTTCATTAAAAGCATGTACCTTTCATTTCTCAAATGCTTTCTGCTGACAAAATAAAGATATATAAATATTAATCATTTTATTAGCCAATACCTGTTCGGCGGGAAATTTAACATGCCAAGAAGTGGAATCAGACTGTGGCGTACAGGATCCCGGGGACACCAATGTGTCAATTACTGTTTATTTGTCAATGATTCCTTTTGTTGAAGACCACAAGGTTATAAAATCATCAAGGTGTCCCTGCAGAAATGTTGCTTTTGTATGTAATCTTACTAGCAACATTCCAGGTAAGGGAATTTATAATGGATTTAGTAAAATAGTCTTGAATAAAATTTAATACTTAAGGCCACATAAATTTAAAATTTAGATTCTCATCCTAATCTGCTAAAAATTGGGGCGGGTGGGTGGATTTTATTTTTTATTTTTTATTATTGAAAATATTTACATAACGCTCTTCTTACACAAAATTTTCACATTATGTTAATGCCAATATGAATATATTTTATTATTATTCTTTTAAATATCTACAGAAGATTCTTGTTATAGAATATTAAATATTTATAGTTTTTATTAATGAATTTTCAAGTACATGTAGATACGGCACACGTCACACAAAATGGGGTGTGGATCCCAATAAATTGCATATGCTGTATGTAGTAGTCACGACTCCTCATCAGCCTTTGTCCAAATACCTTTTAGTTTTACCAACAACTCCTTTTCTTTTGTGTGAAATATCAGATTTCCACTGTCCTCATACTTTCGTTCTTGAGACTTAACACGTTCAACATTAAAATATGTCATTTTTGCAAAACAGGATGTCTAAAACTATAAAATATTCTACTGAGAAGCGTATGCTCAACATTTTTAAGATTTACCATTTCCTTAGCATTATTATCCTCTAAAGTCTGCGATGATCTTTTTTTTTAAAAAAAAAAAAAAAGCAAAATCACATACAACTGGCGATTATTAAGTTATAACTTGACCAGATGTCATTTTCTTCGTCTGTTTTTATTTGGTTAAAATCTCTTTAAAAACTTGCTCATGCCAGTGATGGTTTCTAGATGTATTTATGTTATTTTTGCTTCTCTGCCTTCTCTATCCTGGCAAATTATTTTTTCCCTACATATTTAAACTGCTTTTATTGCCGCTTTTGTGCTATAAATAGCGCCACGCGACTTTTAATACAGACGGGAGATAACTCTTAGATTTTGACTGTGATTCTTGCGGAGTAAAAAATACATGTAAATACTTTTGAAACCCAAAAACCAAAATAAAAAACAACGGGGCGGGGCACTTTGAGAGGGGCGGGCGGGGATGAGAATCTAAAGTTTAATTTTACCTGGCCTAAGGTGGTGCTGTTAAAATGTTTTGAATATGGGTCACGCAGGATAATATACTTGAAGAAAATACCATGTTTGCTGTTTTATTTATAGGTACATGTAATAAAACACTATTTTAATTCTAAATTTTCTTCAGTATCTTTGGAAATTCCATTAATTTTTGTAACATATCAAATTTCGAAATTCAACCACTTTGAACGTTTTTTTCTGTTGAATTATATATATATATATATATATATATATATATATATATATATATATATATATATATATATATATATATATATATATATATATATATATATATATATATATATATATATATGAATTCTACTGTACCAAAGATAACTATCTAACTCGATCAATTGTTCCGTTTTATAATAACTTCCTTCCTCTATGCAAACAACGTCAAAGTTCAGATTGTTTGGAAAAGATTAATACAATGAAGGAAATAAATCATGTGCAATACAATAAGTATATATTGCAGTATTTTCTTTGATAATGACAAACATGATGGGGTAGACTGTATATCATAGGTGAAAAATTTTAAGAAAATAAAGTCCATACCATATCTGTGTTTCCTTTCAAAGAAGAACTGAATGCAAAATTCCACATGTAAAATAGTATCAAGAATTAAATGATTAATTGTCATACAGAACAATGATTTTTATTTACTTTTGAAATGAATAACAATTGACAACAGATGATGTATATTTTACTAGTTTTTAGTCCTGAAAAAACGCAATGTTTATCAACAATGTTTGGACATACTGCTGAAGGGACTACACCGTGTCCGACACTGTGTCCGACAGCAAACATAAGCGAAGAATACGCTTGTTTCAGCAGCAATGGTAAGTGAAAGTAAATCTTATCAAAAGAATCACTAAATAAAACCGTGAAACTATTTGATTTTGTGTTTATACGAGGATTCATCCAAAAATAATTCCACAACTGCTATAAAATCTTTGATAATCGAAAGTTTTCAAAAACTGATATACTAAAACATCTTTCTATTTTGACTCTTGTACAAAATTTTCATTCAGATTTATGCAATGCTTAAAAAACAATAAAACAACTACAACGTTTGGTCTCGCCTATCACGGCACGGCAAGAATGTACAACGTCATTATGACGTTTATCTTCTTCATTAAAAATGACAGCTGTAGATAAATTCAGTAATTTTTTTTAGTTGAAGAGTGCATCCCTAAAATCAGTTGTAATAGACCTGCATATAGATGTTGTAACGTATCCAATATAAATAACTGTCCTACCTGTCTATCTACGCGGAAACAAAACTCCCCTCCCTAACAAAAGAGCGCACTAAGGGAGATAATCTCGGAACTATAATTATATCCTACCGAGGAAATTGGAGGAGATAAAATAATGCGCTAAGGCAAGTGTGAGTGAGTGTGTGCGTGCGTAACGAAATACCCCAAAAATGATTTATATAGTAAATAAAGGATGATGTACGGCAAGGAGGAATAACCCTCTCCTTATAATTAGAGGAATAACTCTAAGAACGAATCAGTATATTTCCTTTATAAGATATTCATAATCATCATTGAGTGGCGCAAAATTTTTAGCATTTAGTAAACTCAATTTACTTGAATTTAATATTACCTTCCTTTTGAAATAAAAAAAAATATTATCATTATAAAGAAATTTAAATTTCACTGTAATGTTCCTAGTATACATTAAAATAATAAAACAATATGATTAAAAAATGAATGCAAATTAAACAATTCTATAAGTAAACAGTATTTACTTTTGTATTTTTATTCATTTCAATATATTAGGAAAAATTTATTTTAAACAATTATTCCTTGATTTCAAAGTTCGTACACTTTAGCAATACTAAGTAGTTTCAGGTTTTAGAAATGCAAATATTACATAAATATGCAACATAGAATATTCAGTAAATTTTTACGTATTGAAATCAAAATACAATATATTGATACTGTGAATATATTATATATGTAAATGTATTCATTATCTTACATCAAAGGTACACCTCTTGGTCAGATTATTGGTGCGGCCCTAGGCGGAGTAGGATTTACTCTGCTCGTGATTGGCATTTCTTTCTTTTTGTTAAGAAAGATGCGAAATATTAATAGTTCTGATAAGTAAGTAAAAAATTATACCATAACTTGTTTTTCTTATTATAGTTGATTATAATCTTTCTCATACTATGTTTTTTTTTTATGTAAAAAGCCTTTTAAAGACTTACTTACCAGTCGTACACAACATATATTTATATTATCATTCTCCAGAGTACCTATGGAAATGGCAACACAAAACCCAGCATATGGAAGTCAATCAGATATGGCACCTTTGCAACACAACAACTTGAGAACTAATACAGTGAATAACACGGAATATTACTCCTCTATCAATGATAATTCTGTTAAGGTAAACAGGGATTCTTTGCATCATATAAGATTTTAAAATTAAACTATATATATATATATATATATATATATATATATATATATATATATATATATATATATATATATATATATATATATATATATATATATATATATATATATATATATATATATATATATATGAAAATATGTAAAAATGCTTCTTCTCTTTTCAGGTTGAGCAAAAATTATCGAATGTCCGACCAATAGTAAGATACGAAAATGATCCAAGATCATATCAAGTTAAAAATGACCATGAGATATATGACCACCTTAATGAATCAAAACCTAAAGATAATAATGACGATTATGATCATGCATTACCGGTTACAGTTACTAGATTACCAACATCGACAGAGTACGATGTTTTGAGACACTCCAAGTCTCATAATGAGTACACAGAAGTGATAGGCGATGGATTTCAGCAATGTAGTTGAATATAAACATGCACAAGCTATAGGGATTTACAATATATTAAGTTTTGCATTTAGAGTACTTTCCCTCTAATTACCTGTAATTCTATTTTCTAATTTATTTTAATTAAAAATATTTAGCATTTGAGATAACATAGTCAAAGGTAGAGTAATAATTGTGTTGTGCCACTTTAATTACAAAGATATTTTTTCTAATCATAAAAAGGGTTTGAATGAGTGTTCCAAAAATTTCAAAAAAGTGAAAAAAAAAAGTCACAGAAAAGTTAGGAACAAATTGGAACTTGTAAATTTGTATACCATGTCATTGCTTATCTTCAAACCTAATTTAAAAAAAATCTGATCCTACATATAGGTAAAATACACATACTCCGAGGTAGATATTATAATGATGCTTTGGTTACGCATTGACAACATGTACGAGGGTTGGTCCAAAAGTTCGTGGAATTTCTTTGTAAAATTTTATTGTAATGTGATTAAAGCAAACAATAGACATATTTATAAAACAGAGCAATTATGCAACAATACTGGAAAATTTCACCAAGTTCCAATTACCATTAAGGTCACAGGAGCCTTCTTAACAATGAAAGTTGTAAAATCCGGGGTAGATTCGACGTCATGTCATTAGGTATGTCACGTCACGTTGTAGGAGCATCTCACCCTTACGTTCAAATTGACTTAAAAATTCTACAGAACGCTGCATTTTTCCCCATTTCTGCTCTTGAGAGAAGCCTGGGTACCCATCTCGCACCCAATTTCTTCTTATTACGATCATTTTTCAAAATACGCTCCATCGTTCCATATGATGTTCCTATTTCAGCAGCAATGTCAACCACAGTACGTCGGCGGTCCACGTCATTAATGCTCTCAATTTGTCTACGAGGAATAAAAAAACGACCTTCCAAAGGGAGCCACACCTTTCATTATCCTCCACGGAAGTTCTATTTTCCTTAAATTTCTAAGGCTACTGGAAAGCCAGTGGCTTACTGCACTTTTGTCCGGCCTCTATCAGTAGTATATGCATTTAAGTCGGAGTGTTCCCGAGATTTTTTACAAAATTCATTACTTAGCATAAATTTGACGTTGTCTAACGATGTCATGCTGAACAACAAATCATCAATAGAAAAACTAAATATC